AAAAAAAAAAAAAAAAAAAAAGAAAAAAAACCCCAGAAAAATCACTCTATTTTAAATAAATAGTCTATGTCCACTATAAACAACTAAAATGATGGAGAAAAGCACAAATAAAAAAGTAAAACCAATTACCCCAAGACCATCCACCACCCAGAAATGTCATTGTTAACATAGACAAACATTATTTCAGGCATCTTTCTTTGGAACTATAAGGAGAGATAGGTTAGAAAAATAAATAGATATACTTTTATTAAGATAGGATCATACAAGTGCTATTTTATTACATTTGTTAATTTCAATTTTACTTGCATTTAGTAGAAGAAAAAAACTTAAATGAAACTGAAGGAATTATCACACACCAATGTTTCTTTGTCATAGGAACTACTGGATCATAAAGGGTCCCTTTAAAGTTCTAAAAAGAGATTATGAAGTATGCATTAAATAATTATGAAATACATGAAGAGGCTACGTAGTAAATTGGACTTGTGTTTTCTAAACTTTGTTTCCAGTTTAAATATCTACTGATACTGTCTTTGAAAGACTAGCACTAACGAATTCCCATCCATCTCCCCTCTCTTCAACTCCAATTTTTTTTTTTTTTTTGAGACAGGGTCTTGCTCTGTTGCCCAGGCTGGGGTGCAGTGGCACAATCATAGCTCACTGAAGCCTCAAGCTCCTGAGGTCAGCCACCCTCCCGCCTCAGCTTCTCAAGTAGCTAGTACTACAGGCAAATGCCACCACACTCAGCTACTTTTAAAAATGTTTTTGGAGAGATGGGGTCTTACTATATTGCCCAGGCTGGTCTTGAAATCCTGGACTCAAGTGATCTTCCAACCTCAGCCTCCCAAAGTGCTTGGATTTCAGGTGTGAGCCACTGTGCCCAGACACCTACAAATTTTGAATAGTTATGTTACTGTTTTTAAAGTCTAGGTTTATTTATTTTACAAAGTAAACTGATTTTATTGTGAAATTCTCATAGTCAGAAAATTAAATCAAATATTTATTCTGTCCATTTCATTTTACAATAACCTTATCACTTATTTTTGTACCATGCATTTCAATTGCCTGTTAGCGAAAAATGTTTTAAAAGCTATACACTTTTTGATGTTTTTAGCTTAAATCTTCTCATTAAATTAAGGAGCCCACAATACAATATGTTGCCAGCAGCTGCAGCGCAAGCCCCTGTATGAATATTTTCGTTGCGATTTCAACTTAAGGAAACAATCTTTGACCCTGACCCACTGTCCAGGTTTATGATACTTCCATTCTATTTGGTAACTATCATTCCTGTAGTCTTTAAAAATATGTTCTGAATATTTAACACATTCATATGATTTAAAAAGTCAAAATAATGCAAGATGCTGTACATTGAGAAGTTTCACTTCCACCCTTTCCCCATCTTCTTAGCTCTCTCTGTCCCCATGAGATAACTACTTTTCTTATTTATATTTCTGCTGTTTCTTTGTGCAGATAGAACAATAATGAATATACTGTTAGGCACTATGCTTTTTTGATATAATAATATATATTGGAACTCTTTCCTTATACATAGCCTCCTCATTCTTCTTGCAGCTGTACAGGATGCCATTGTGGGATGAATCACAGTTTGTTTTTTTTTTTCTTTTTTTTGAGATGGAGTCTCACTCTGTTGCCCAGCCTGGAGTGCAATGGCTCAGTCTTGGGTCATTGCAACCTCCATCTCCTGGGTTCAAGCGATTCTCCTGCCTCAGCCTCCTGAGTAGCTGGGATTACAGGCACACGCCACCACACCCAACTTCAATCCCTAATTTTTGTATTTATTTTAGTAGAAACGGGGTTTCACCATGTTGGTCAGGCTGGTCTTGAACTCCTGACCTCATGATTTGCCTGCCTTGGCCTCCCAAAGTGTTGAGATTACAGGCGTGAGCCACTGTGCCTGACCTGAATCATAGCTTTAAAATCTGGCCCCCACTGATGGACACTTGGCTTGTTCTCAGTTTTTTGCTATTACAAATAATGTTGTCATGAATAACCATGTACAAATATCATTTCATATACGCAAAGGCATGTTTGTATTCTCGGACTCATAATTGTTTAGTATGTTTTATATATAAATGGGTATACTATTCACCAGCATCAGTATTTTTGTGAAATTTGTTTTGTTTATTTAGAGACAGGGTCTGACTCTGCCACCAGGCTGGAGTGCAGTGGAAATCACAGCTCACTGCAGCGTGGACCTCCCAGGCTCAAGTCATCCTCCCACCTCAGCCTTCCAAGTCTTTGGGACTACAGTCATGCGTCACCACCACTGGCTAATTTTTGTATTTTTTGTAGAGATGGGGTTTTCCCATGTTGCCCAGACTGGTCTTAAACTCTTGGGCTCAAGCAATCCTCCTGCCTCAGCCTCCAAAAGTGTTGGGATTACAGGTGTGAGCCACTGTGCCGGGCCTGCTGTGACTTTTTTTATTCCTGAAGTCTGCTTATTTCCTTGTTTATATTGTGACTCATCTCCTCTCTCAGTGAATTTCATTGTCTAGCAATATTTTTTTAGAAGGGCTTATTTGTGCTGTACCCTTTGA